ATAAACAAACTCAAAATAATATCACATTACACGTCAAACACTGGGGAGTTGCACATTTGGTTCTGAACTTCTGATGTATAGAAAAACGCGGGCTGAAACATAAACGAACAAAAGTTGCACGAACCCTAGCATAAATTTTTCCCAAAGGCCACACTATTATACTAAATATTAAAATGAATTGTGTGTAACACATCAAATTGGAACACATAACATATAATCAAGGGAAATACCAAGATCATAAACAAAAACAGAAACAAATTCAAACTGCTTCACCAAGCTTGGATTCTACGAGCTACAACACAGACATAGATCGAACTTTATAGGCCAATATAAAGAAACATCGTCTAAACCTAATGCAACTGACATTCATTGGGTTTTTCAGAACCCAAGAACGGCATTCTCCAAGAGCCTAAAAAGAAAATATATTCCTATATGCACCATATGTGATCATGCAGTTCTTGTTGAACGCGCCAAGTATTTCCTAAAAAAATCACAAGACATAGTAGTTATTGATATTGATGGCGTTTTTAAACAATTAAAACAAATAGTAGTCTCGGTCGATGAGCATGCATAACAAAATAAAACGCTGAAGCATTTACTAGGTATTCACATTATGCTTTGGTATAATAATGCCTTTTTGCATACAACCGCAATGATTAATCTCTAGTGATTACCTTCTTTGTCATTGTTACCATAAATAGAAGCATCTGTTGGAATATGGTGTTTAGAATGAGTGATAAAAATCATGAAGTCTAAAGAGGAGATGAAGTGAAGATTTGTTGTGCATAAAATTCTGTTTTCATTTTTAATTTTCTTTTCGATTTTGTTTGTTAAGACATTTACCATACGACGTTGCTTAGGTAAGTTAGAGCGACATCGTTTAATTCTTCTTCTTGCATGTCTTTATGTGTATAAATAAAGACCTGTACGTACATTTTCGAGCTAAGAAAAATAACATCTGAAAATGGAGAATTTTACTCCGCAAAATACCTGAGATTTCACATGATATCGAGAGCAGAAGATTTTGGGCAACTGTTGTCTTTCGATCGAAACTTTTCTGGAGATTGAGCATATTTCGAGCTGAGATTGAGAGCGATGGCACATCAAGGAGGAAATCCATGGCTGCTACTCACTTCAAATGCAGAGTTGCGATCGAGAATTGCCGAATCAGATCCATATTCGCTGACTAGCTCAGATCATCCTGGTATGTTGCTAGTGTCTCATCAACTGACTGGAAATAATTTTCTATCATGGAAAAGATCTATCATGATTGCTTTGGGTGCTAAAACAAAGCTTGGCTTTATTAACGGTGAAATTGCGAAACCTAGTTTGAATGATCCAAATTTTGCGGCATGGAGAAGGGTAGATTGGACTGTACTTTCATGGATACTCAATTCTATGTCGAAGGAAATAGCAGAATCATTTTTATATGCGGAGAGTTCTAAGGAACTTTGGGAGGAAATTTGCCAACGCTATGGTGAAAGTAATGGACTGATGAAATACAAATTGCAGAAGGAAATTATGAGTTTGACTCAAGGAAATAACACTGTGACTGAGAATTTCAACAAGCTAAAGAAGCTTTGGGATGAGTATGCCTGCATAGTTCCATTTCAATCCTGTGATTGTGAAAAAAAGGAAAATGATGGTTCAACATGAGGCTGAGACTAAGTGTTTGCAATTTCTAATGGGGCTAAATGATAGCTTTGACAATGTTAAGAACCAGATGTTGTTAATAGAGCCTTTACCAACTGTGAGCAAGGCCTACTCCATGATTTTGACTGCAGAAAGACAAATGAGTGTTCAAAGCACATATGGTGAAAAAGTTGAAAATGTAGCAATGATGATTAAAACAGGTGGTGCAGGAAGAGGTCAAGGTAGAGGAAATAATGGTGGGAGAAGTGGATATGCTGGAAGCCAATGGAAAGGAGGCAGAGGCAGAGGTGGTACTAGGTTAAGCAAAGAGGAGAAGGCAAAGTTGCACTGGGATAAATGTGGCATGAATGGACACACAATTGCCACATGTTTCAAGGTGCATGGAGTTCCAGAATGGAACAAAGAGTACAGGGAACAACATGGAAAGACCTATGCAAATAACAAAATGGTGCAAAATGGGGAAGAAGGAATGAAAGGAGGACAAAAGGAGGAAATGAAAGGAAGGGATTTAGACTCAGTCATCAAACAATAGAATTAGTTAACTCAGTACATTAAAGGAAAGGAGGAAAGCATGAACAAAGTAGACTATGCTCAATTTGTGAGCTTCACAGGTGTGGATGAGAAGGATCACATTCAGTATGCATTATCCACATTTGAGGAAATGCAAAGGATAAATGGATTGTGGACACTGGTGAAAATAGGCATATATGTACAAACAGGAACATCATGAGAAATCTTCAAAGGTTAAGCACTTCAGTAATGGTTTGCTTACAGATGGATCCTTAAAGAGTGATAAAGGAGAGGTGATGATCAACAAAGATATACTACTGAGAGATGTACTATACATGCCAGATTTCAAGTACAACCTGATGTCAGTTGCTCAGCTATGTAGCAATGATAAGCTGAGATAGGACTTTGATGATTCACAGTGTTCACTGTATGATAAAGGAAGTAACAGAATGGTTGGTTGTGGAAAGTTAGAGGGCAATCTGTATGTATTCCAACAAGAAGAAAGGGTAGAGATATCTTGTAGCTTAACCATTAAAGATTTGCATAAATATCTTGGACATGCTTCTTTTGGAGCATTTAAGCATCTGAGTGTACTAAAGGAGAGTTGTAAGAAGGATGAAAAATTACTTAAAGACTGTGAGGTGTGTATGAAGGCTAAACAACACAGGTTACCATTTCAGAATAGCAGCATACACACTACTGCCTGTTTTGAGCTTATATATGTTGATATTTGGGGACCATGCCAAGAGGAGTCCATCACTAGTACACCATACTTTCTCAGCATTGTGGATGATTTTAGTAGGGGTACTTGGGTGTTCCTTATGAGACACAAGTCAGATACCAGCAAGCTGCTAAAATCCTTTGTGAAAATGGTAAAAACACAATATGACCTTGATGTTAAAAGAGTCAGTACAGATAATGGTAAAGAATTTAGGGATAAGGAGTTAAAAAGGTTTTATGAAGAAAGAGGAATAGTTCATGAGACCACTTGTGCCTATACACCTCAACAAAATGGCATAGTGGAGAGGAAGCATAGGCATTTATTGGAGGTGGCAAGGGCCTTCATGTTTCAAGGGAGCTTACCTATGAAATTCTGGCCCTTTTCAGTGCTAACAGCAGCATATGTGATCAATAGGACTCCTAACTCAGTGTTGAATTGGAAAACACCCTATGAGAAACTGACAAAGAAGGCACCAGATTACTTCAGCATAAAGCCTTTTGGTTGCTTGGCTTATGCAACCAAAAACATCCCATATAGAACAAAGTTTGGTGCAAGAGGACTTAAGTGTGTTTTTTTGGGTTTTGTATCTGGAAAAAGGGCATATCAGCTGTATGATCTAGATTCTGAAGAATTACTTATATCCAGGGATGTAACCTTTCTTGAGGACTGCTATCCTTATCAGAACTTATCAAGTGCAAATGAGCAGGTTATACCAGTTCCAGTGGAGGATGATAAAACCATTGATCCAACTGAGCCTAATGGTGTAGTAGGAGAAAACAGGGAAGAAATGCAGACTGATTGCACATTAAGAAGGAGTACAAGGCACAAAAACCTCCAGTATGGCAATAAGATTATATCTATCATTCTAGAGAAGGAACCCTCACATTATGGTCAAGCATGCAAACATCCAACTTGGGTGGAAGCAATGCAAAAAGAACTTGATGCACTTGACAACAATCATACATGGGAATTGACAACTTTGCCACAAGGAAAAAAGGCCATTGGATCAAAATGGGTTTTTAAAATAAAAATAAGGGCAGATGGATCAGTGGAGAGGTACAAGGCAAGACTTGTTGCCAAAGGTTATAATCAAATTGAGGGTGTGGATTACTTTGATATTTTCTCACCAGTGG